AAAACCACATTAGTTCGTCTTTTGATTTTCAAAAGAGAGCAATTACTGCTTTGACAAACAAGTTCATAGAGCCGGGGGCTTTGGAGAATTACGTGCAACTAATTTATTGTAACTCACTAATTAAATGGATTTTCCAGAGCAAATACATCATGCTCCTTTAATCTCCAATATTAGGAGCAAAAAGTCTACTATAGATAGGAAATTTGCATAGTAAAATTAAATTTTCAAGATTAAGTAATTTATCTCTCTCACGAGATATACAAGTATTTAGGAATACATTTTATGATTTTACTAGGAATTATTGGAATTTTAAGCGTCATTAGGCTACTTTATCAGAGCCTGAAGGCCCGTAACCCACATCGTGAGTTGCACCAAATAATAATAGTAGGCAAAGGTCGCATAACAAAAAAAAAAAAAAGAAACGAAAGGCCCATTAATCATTGGACCCATTCTCATGACCGTTAGAATTCAAATTTTAAACCTTCCAAAGCTTCATCTTCACCAGCTCCAAGAAAACACCCCAACTCCCCAAAGAAAACAAGACCGACCCCCGAAACTTAGAATCAAGAAACCATGAAATCAGTACCGTTAACCCCAAATTCTTCTACAAAATCATCCACAACGGCAACCAGCTCCGGCACAAGCATGGAATCTGAATCAAGGGATAGCTATTATTTTCCGGGATGTCGAAAAGATGCCAACTGCAACTGCGAAATGTGCATAGAAAGCATGAATGCCACCCTTGATCTTATGCCCCAAAGCAATTACAGAGGCTCTATGACTAAGCGTTCAATTTCGAAGCCTACTCTTCGAAGAAGTCCCATCTCATTCAACACTTCAACTCTTTCAACCCCTAAATCAAGGACCGAAACTGTTAAGATGTCACCGCCCCTGAATTCCACTGCAAGAATCTGCTTTCATGACAAGTTGAAGAGAAAGGAGAAACATTTCAGATTTGGGGTCTCTGTGATTAGATTGCTGTGGGGTCTGAGCTTGATTTTGGCTGCGGAATTTGGATTCTCTTGGGTGGTTTCTGGGATACTTAGGCCTGAATTATCACGGGAAAAAGTGAGGATTTTGGGCGAGAAATCACTTGTATCTAAGGACTTGAATGAAAGGTTATCGTTCTTGAAGAAAGATTTATGGGGTTTGGTTGGTAAGCAGATCTCACATTATAGCTATGTTGGTTCTCCCTGGAAAATCAATCAGGTAAAATTTTCTCGGATTTTAATTATTGGCCAGTGTTCATTGTTCTTAGGGTTCGCTTAAAAATTATTATTTTTTATTTACATGCTTATGAACAATTCTGGGATTCATTCATAATTAGTTAGTTGATTATTGAATCTTCTGTCCCGTATGACAAACGCCTAGGATGGGTTTATTTTGAATTCCCGAAATGTGCTGTACAAATCCCTGACAGAAGAGGTGAGCATCTGGGGTTGGCCTTTGCAGACAGCTGGATTGCTCACAGCAGAATTTTCTTCACGGTCATTCACAATCTTATCAGGAAGAGTCACTGAGGTAACCTACTTCTGATTTTCCCCCCTTTTTCCTTGAACCGACTAGAGAATCCAGCCAAAAGCATAAGTAGCTAAATCAACCATTTGTCTTTCGTTCTCTTCTGTTGTCTGTCATAATCTTTCTGAATCATTGTGATGCTACAAGATCCCGTGTCACTGAAAAACGTTTCAGAAAGAAATATGCCTTTTTCTTTCCTTGACTTTTCTCTCTTTTACAGTGGACAAATGGGGAGGTGGGGTATTTGATTCGAAACAGTAATACTTCATGGGTACAAGGAAAATGGAGTGCTTCTGCTGTTCAATTGGATCCAAATACATGGATTCTCGAGTATCAACAAAGGCCTGTAATTGAGAACTCGAGATTGATTTCAGCAGCACTGCACTTTCTGAAATTCAGACTGATCAGAGAACTGAAAAATGTGCAGCAGGAGTTTTGGCTGATATTTGCATTTGGCAAACAGTACAGCGGTTCAACAGGACAGAACCTCAAAATCCCGACATAGACGGTTTTTAATTCGGTGTTTTAGCTACTTATGAGAAGAGAAACTTCTCATTACTTGTGAGAAGCTTTGGGTTGATTGTCTCTTCTGTCCTAAATGAAGCATGATCAATTAGAAAGTGGATTTGTTTTGTTCTATCAACATCGATGTGCATGAAGATGCACGGGTAGAAACTAGTCCTTGTACGTTAAAAAGCTGGGGGCAGTTGAGAGGTGGATGTGAATATACTTCAGAAAATTTTGTAGACAAGTAAAAAGTTCGTATAATCACCAGAAATCTTTACAAGAACAGGAGCCGTCTCTATAATGCAGAAATCTAGTCCTATCTCTAAGAATGATTTCTCTCTCAAAGAATGAAGTTCTGGCAATCCTCACAGATCCTAAGGTTCTTAATGATTGGAGTGAATGATCTCTTTTCCTCTCTAATCAGCGCATAATAAAGTGCTAACTTCTCACAGTTCCAGAGCCAGACAAATCTCCTTTTCTTTTCCTCGTCTTGATCTGCATCAATCAAAACACATCTGGCTTTTGGAGCATTAGCTACCTTCTTCAGCGTTACCAATTTACCACTTAAATAACAGCGCTTGCTTATCATTTTTATCAGCTGTCATAACCTCGTGTATCTGATTGTCAATTTCAATTTTAATACACCGCTATTAAGGAAATTCAATTAGTTTTGGAATTGCAATGAATAATATTTTTTCAATATACAACTAAAATCTAAGCTAAATAAAATATGGGTTCTTTTTAAACCTCTGAATTTGTTGATTTAGTGTAACTCATACTCAAATTATGTGTGGGAGGAGGGATGGGTTGAATTGAACGAGAGAGTGAAACGATTCAAGACCTTCCACTTACACTTAAACAAAATCCAAATTTTGTGCTTTGCTCTTTTTTTTTTTCCTTCTTTTTTTGGTTCTTCAATTTCCTATGATTTGCAGAATAAGATCACTGATTTGGTAGCAGACACAAAGTCAGTTGTTGAAGAAATCTGGAGCATGCTTCAACATTCTGAAAATCTTACCTTGGACGGACGATTTTCAAACTAAGCGTGGGAAGACAGTATATGCTGGTTGATGACAAAACGCCGTTGCTGTATGGAAAGAAGTAGAGAAGGTTAGAGGGTCTTGGCCACAGCAATTCGCAAAACTGGGAAGTTTCTAAAATTCTTGTTTAATTCAGATTTGGATGCAGGTTTTGGCATGATACTGTTTCTTAAAAACAGTAGTTGGATTGATTCTTTTGTTTTAGTGCATTTTACTACTCAGTCTCCGTTGTTCTCTAATGCAGTTCCGAGCGCCGTGTGCAGTATTGTTACGAAGGAGTTTATCTCCAAAGACTTAGGAAGGAATGAGCAAACCCACAAATATTGCTATGATTTTCTAGCTACATTCCACAAATATTACTATGATTTTCTAGCTACACTCTTTTTTCTTTATACAAAACTTTGTATGTAAAGTGTTATTGATTTTTTTTTTTTTTTTGGTCTACATGAAAAAATGAACAAGGAGGAAAAATCACATGGATGAGACATCAATTATCGCTTATACAACTGAATGAAATTAATGGGCAAGAAATTTTGCATTAAAGGTTCGTATGGTTTGTGCCTAATAAGGTGAAGTGAATATTAATTAATCCACAAAAAGGTAATTTCTTCTCTCCCATTGAAGAATACGCAGTTCAGTAATCAGTGTGTTTGGTAACACCATTTTTTTTTTTTCAAATATTATCTTGCTTGCATTATCAACATATTTTTTCAACCACTTTTTAATATTTCTAATGATTAATTGCAAAATGCAATCTCTGTTACCGGTTTGTAACTTCCACCCCAAACTTTAAATTATTGCATTAAACTACATTCATCTATGCATTTTTAGCACATTCATCTATGCATTATTTTCATCTCTTTTTTTTTTTTTTTTACACCATTTCAAAACTAATATCCATCACAATTCCAGCTTAGATTCCTTATCAACAATCATAGAATACAACTAACCCTCAACATGATCATACACCAACAAAAGTCATTGCAAACTAACCAATTAGAGAATCCAAAACAAGCCAGAGTGATAAACCCCAAGAACACAAGAATAAGAAAAACGGTGGTGATTGGTTATAGAGAAATTTTGATTGATTCATTGGTTTAGCAAGAACAAGGAAAATACAGCTTGAGAACAAAAAAAAAAATCAGCAAGTGAGGGAGTTTGAAAAACGCTCATGACTTTTTTGTGTATTAAGCAAGAGTGAGAGAGCTAGGAATAGGGAATTAAAACGGATTGGAGTTGTTGCTGAGAGAAGAGAGGGGAAAGAATGGGAGAAGAATAGATGGATGATTTAAGGTTTTTGATTTACTCATATTGGGGCAAAAATGCCATGAGAATTTTTTTTCTTGGCTGATTTCTAATTAATTGAGGTGAAGTACAAAAGATTAATAGATTAAGAGATTATAATGCTATAATTTATATTTTAAGGTGCAAATTGCAATCCAAAGATAGTTGAGGGTGCATTTTGCCATTAATCCTATTTTTAACCATCTTTTTTATCTCACACACACCAAATCAGGAAAAAAAAAAAAGTGTTACGGTATTATTCTAAATAGTTTCTTATCCAATCGCCTATGGATTTGTTTATATTTTTCTTCAAAATAATGGAATGATGGAAAATAACATAGAAGTCATTTGAAATATTTCGATTTACCCCATCTTGTTTTTCTTTTCTCGAGCTTTAGTTAGGTTCCATAATTTGACATTTTGGCATGTCTAAAATTGATAAAGCATAGGTCACGCGTGATTTCACACCAAAAATAATACAGGTCTAAACTATATTAGGCTGACTTACTAATGTAATCACACGTAAAATTAATATTTTAAATATGAGGTATGTAAATTATTTTTAATGAAATGTGAAGGACGTTGTGTGCAATTTTCCCTTGTCCTTAACTGCTATAAAAATTTACTCAAAAGGAAAAAATCACAAAAATATATAGAGCGCGAGAAATACTAAACCCAGAAATGTGATTCCTTGAATTGCCCATTCGACTCTCAAAGCTTTCCGTGGGAACATCGGAAACGTCAAGATGGGAGAAGCACTTTTCGAACTTGAAAACGTTCTCAGAAAGGTAATACTGGTATAGACTATTTGCATTTCGATTGCAGAATCAGTCTTACGAAATTACAGCAAGAAAGATGTGATTTTTCCTTATGTTGTTTATTTAGTGAATTCCAATGATGGGTTATTAATTTGTTATACGCATGATTTCCTTGAGACCCTTTTTAATGAAAAGATGGGTTTAAACTAAACTTATGTTTTTAAAATTGGGATATGGTTCAATTGGCAGGAGAAAATCACTAGTCAAGAAGCAAATATACTGATGCAATGCAAGTCAAACGCTCTCAGAGCGTTCACTCTTGGTGCTACTGGTGCTGCTGCTGTGAGTTGGTTTGGTAGGAATTTTGGTTATCCTATTCCAATCTTCTTTTCCATTTTTTGAATTGAACTTCTTATATGTATATTGGGCTTTTATTTAAATTTTTCTGGGGGTTTCCCGTATTTCTTGTGCGATGAACTATAAAGATCAATTTTTTTTCAAGAATTAGTACCCATCTTACCAGGTTTATTCTTGTACAACGAGACTATATAAATGGATTTGTATTTTGTCCTATGTGAAAGGGGAAGGACTGGACTAAAGTTTCCACTGTTGCAGTTATGGTCATTTGTTCAATGTCATGTAGTTTTTTTTTTGGGGTGGGGGTGGGGGGTATGATGTATTGATTTTTCAGTCTATAATTAGAGGGCTAATTTCATTAGTTAGGACCATTGAAGCTTAAAGATGTTTAAGAATGGTAGTCATAAAGATGGGATGATGGGGTAGGAAGTGGATGTTTTGGTCTGCTCATGCATAAATTTAACCATATAAGCTTTCTTGGTGGTTTTGTTGCGTTGATCTTGAATAGAGTTCTCATGCCCACATAAGTCTTATGTTATTGGGATCAGCAAGCTGTTATAGATGCTTTTCCTTCAAAAGTGGAGAATTTACTTTCGAACATAATAAAAAAAATAGTGTGGGATTACCAAGTCGATGATGGTGCATTGCTTCTCAAAATCTAAGATGTTTGCTTACTGTAGGAAAATTGCATATCAGTATCAACTGCTGGCACTCCTTTGTAACTACCCTTGCCATTGAATAATTTCAAATTGATCTCCAAAAATAATGTTCCTTAATGTCTTAAAAGCTATATAATTTAGACTTAAGCCCATGAGAGATCGTGTATTTTTTGTGTCTTGTGTGAATCTCTCTACATGTGTTATTGTTCAAACTATTACTAGTGCCTTGTCATCTCGCTGTTCCATAGACTGGTTAATTGATTGAATTTTGCTTTCTTTCTTTCAGCCAGTATGAAGCTTCATAATGTACACCGCGTTTTCCTGACAGCAGGTCTCTCTCTCTCTCTCTCTCTCTCTCTCTGTGGGTGTTGGGTTTGCTGTGCGAGTGTGAACACTAAATTTATAAGTTGATGCATTGAAATGCATATATGCCTATGGAATCTACGAATTCTTCAACACTAGTTTTAGCTAGGGGATATAATCTTGGAAGACTTCGATAAGCAAGTACCTTGGCAGATGTATAGATATGTCTTAAACTTATCTTTTCCTGATTGCACCTATAGATCTGCAATTCTTAAAATCATCTGGGAATACTGAGATTGAGATATCTGGGATATGTTGAATATATTGTCCCTGAATTTTGCAGGAGGTTCTTTTGTTGTTGGAATGCGGACTTTTGGTAGATCTCTAGATTCGTCTCTTAACTACATTCTTTCTCTGGATGGGACTCGGATGCAGAAAGAATTGGGAGTTCTGTAGGTTCCTAGTCTTTTGATCTAGTGCAAAGTTTTTTGATATTAAATGAAGTGAGTTTGTGCATGAATGTCTAGTTACATTGTCCTCCTAAACTAAAATCATGATAGTGATATTTACATTTTTGTTTAGTTAGTTCAGGAATTTCTGGAGTCTTAATGTCAAGCAATGCCATAAAGAAACTATGCGGTTCCGTTAGATTCCTTCACCTGTTGTCCAAACGTGATAAGACAATAATGAGCAGGATTCAAACATGTGTGACTGTTATTTTCGCTGATTAATCCATCAGAAGTGCTACAAGGATACAGGAGTACACACAAGTAGGAAGTTAGACCATGGTTGGATTGGCAATGCCGTTCAAGTGACAGACTTCTCATGCATGTGATGGCTGATTAATTGCTCCTTTCGAGCAAAAGTTCGTTAACTTTTCAGGGATAGGAGACAAAGGATAGATGCGAGAGGTTAAAGTAGATAAAACACAAGTAAATTGATTACATTAATGCATGCTATTATGATGACCTGTGACATAAGAAGAAAAACAAGAGTTGTTATATGATGCTACCGCTACTTTTCATGGTCACAAACAGATGACAGATTGATTGGTAGATCTTTTGTTTTCTTTTGTATTTAGGTGAATCCAGAAACTGGTTTATTCTGCTACTTATGTGTTGGATTTACTGTTGGTGTCTTTATCTGATGTGAGCTGTTCTAGTCTTTTGACTGTATATCTGCTTTTGAAATGTCTTATGTGGTTTAATTTTTTCCTCATGGCAGAATGTTGCAAAAGTATCAGGATGACCCAACCATAATGCAACGTATCTCCAAGCATTTTTACTCAGAAGAGGTTTATGATGATTCATCAGACCGACCAAGATTAAGATGGCGTTTCCGAAACTCCTTTGGAGAAAATGCAGCTTATCCTCTGGTGACTGATGAGCATGCTTCGAACAGTGAGAAATCTGATCAAAAGAGGACTATTTCAAAGAATAGTGATCCGGAACCAAACCAAGCTCAAGTAAGTTTAAGTTTAAATTTAATTTTCAGTCTAGGAAATTTGAGAATTGAAATCCTTCGAGGAAAATACAGAAATAGCTACAGGTCTCTTAATACTTTCTATGCTTGGGAAAATTTTTGAGTTTCTGCATTGTATCACCATTTCTACAATTCTTCTTCCACCTTAATATCCAAAGTAGTACTGGATAATTCACTTGGTAATAGGCTGTGCTGCACTTTATCGTGTTGAGAATGGGACAGAATGCTTCCTTGTTATTTCAATTGCCTGTTAATTTATGTGTAGATTTTGGTTCCTTTGATCTTGGTTGTTTATGATTTTAGATGAATGCTGCTGGTGATGCTGTGGAGAACCCATTTGATTGCATTTTCGGGATTCCGGCAGAGGTAAATGAGATTCAGCAGACTAATAGATCTAATGCTGGTAGATCCAAAGCGGTCTCCAAAAGACATGCTCATGGCAACAAGCGATTTCATCGTAGACATCGGAAGCATCAGCAAGAGGCTTCTGAGGCCTGAGTTCATAAACTGTTTTAGACTGGGGCGACATCCAAGCCATTACCATTACGAGACTCATTTCGGTCTGGCTGAAGCAGGGAACGGCCTTTCATGGTTAAATGCTTATTAATATAGGCTACATAGCTTATATGATTACTTAAAGCTGATTCATGAACCAATTCTACTACGATGGTAAGTTGTTTCACGCTAAGTTATGAACAAGCTGTGTCAGCCAGCTTCTTCACAGTTTTGTCCTTTCAGGAATGATACAGTTGTATGCATGAAGGTTCTTTTGGAATAGTAGGATTTCTTCGTGAATTCTTTTGTTTTGTTTTTTTTTTTCCTTGGGGAAATACGGTTTATGTACTGTAACAGTCAAATAAGTACTCCCGTCTTCTGTCTGCTACTAGTATAATTTATCAATTGAATGGTTGTAAGCATCCATGATTACAAAAATCTTTTGTACATGATAAAAAAGAACTTTAGCTTTTGACAAGTCGAAATCATGCTCAAGATTATCATAAATATCATATTATCATCATCATTACTGTATAAAAAGTATGATGAGTCTTGACAATAATAGAATGTAAGAGTGTATGCCTAAATTACCCTTGTGTCTTTTAATTCGAGCCATTGCATTTCAATCATGCAATATTATACCAAGAACTTAGCTTAAATATGATAATCTTCCCTCTTCAAAATTTTTATAACTATAGAATGCACAATAAATTTTTAATGGCTTTGTACACAATAAACATTTTTTTTAGATTCCAATAAGTCATTTCCGTTAAGTTTTAACAGATTCTGTCACCTTTATAATTTAGTTCAAAACATGACGTGTCGTATTGTATATTTTGAAACCATAGAGAGCTTTTCTGTGTATTAGGTTTACCACAGAGAATTTTTTTGTTTTTTACCCTTTATATTATGCTAACAATCAAAATTTTACACAAAAATTTAATATATTAAAGATTTTATATCTTGGAAAAATATATATTACTGGTAATCTCTAAAAGCACCCGAGAAAGTAGATTGAAATTTCGCCCCGTACAACTTTCTACCAGCCCGTCTTTAATCTCTAGCCTCTATATTCGATCATGAAAGAAAAAATTGTCCTTATACATATCCTACTTAAAATATTACTATATATAAGGCACAAAACCAAGCCATACCTGTACATTTGGCTTAACTAGGTCCTGATGCCATCTTAATTTCCGGAACTCTCTTTTCTGTCCATCATTTTAAACGTATATACAAAAGTCCCTAATGAAAGAGATAATGGCAGATGTACACATCTCAAAGGTTTATATGCATGTTGATAGATATCCATGGTCTACATGCATGCATGACCTATAGGACAATATATTAACTTTTGAGAAAATTCTTCAGCAAAAATGCGTCGTCTTTAATAGGTCATACCAAAAAGATTATACGTAAAGCAGTTAATTTCATGTAATCTTAAGAGAAGAAGCCTTCATTTAAAACCATTTATATTGTCTGTGGTTCAACCTTTTTGCCACACCAAGAATCTTAATCTTATAAAATAATCTTTTCCACTTTAATATTATTCGATTCTTTTTATCCATTTATCTCCCTACAAATCTCCACCTCCATGAGAATTCATCCTTTGTGCAGCAAGAGAAACATGAACATGAGGGATGCTTTTGATTCTTCAGTCAATGGACATGCCCTCAAGAAACTCAGGAAACTTCCTCATGTCTTTGGCAAGGTCCTAGAATTGCCCTTTGGGTCTGATGCTGATGTTGATGTTGAAGATAGTCATGAAACCATTCGCTTCATCGCAAAAGTTGAGATCGATGGCGAGGATGTTGCTAATGAAGTCAGGGCTCACGCCGTTGAGATTCACCCTGGGGTTACCAAGATTGTGGTGAGGAAGGATGAAGGAGATCTGGACTTGTTGCTGGACAAATTGAACATAGATACATGGCGTTTTAGGCTTCCGCGGTCAGCTCAGCCGGCCTTGGCTTCTGCGGTGTTTGTCGATGGAGAACTTATTATCACGGTGCCTAAAGGCAATTCTCGAGAGTTTGGTGATGGAAGGGACGTGTGGCTCGGTGACAGCCGGCTGGTTCTTGTTCAGTGAATTAAAGCTTAAACATTCAAGAAAGGATGATGAGATGGTAAACATAAGGGTTTGCATGAAATGCAAATGTTTGTATTGCCAATGCATTGACGCATGTTTGTGTTCTGAATCTAATGTGCCTGCTATTTAATTTGTGTTATTTCTGATGTACTTGATCAGGAAAACATACAGTTTAATGTCTATTTTGCTTTTGTATTGCCAGAGTTTCAGTAGACGGTTGAATGGCTATGAATTCGGCTGGAAAATTTGTATGGAATCCTCTGTTAATGATTTGCTTTTGCTATCTTTACTATAAAGTAGATACTCCTACGATTGTTGGATAGATTTACGTTTTATGTGTTGGTTGACAAGGTGATTCAAGGACAAAAGACTAGGATGTTTATCTATACTCATCTGATGTTTCTCCTCCTCTTGATGATGCTCTCTTCTACACATCAATTTTCCTGTAACCAAACAAATGGTTTTTGTTGCCTCCCAATTTAGCCATAGAACAATGCTCTCTAAGTGCAAAATTTGGAAGCTTTGGGCAAGCTAGATTCTGATTGAGGTCTGATCACCCTAAGGTTCAGCTAAATTGATCACAGCTCCATGCCTAACAACCCTTTAGGTTGATGAAACCAGAAATCCAGGATTTACACACAGAAGATGAAAAATTTTGTAAATATCCCAACAACAATTTGCAGGCCTTTTCATATTTGTACCTGCAATGAAACAGAGCACCGCTGAACTGAAAACCAAAGAAAGACAATGTCATTAACACGATGATAAGGATATCGTTGTTGTTGACATTGATTACCCTTCGCTATTGTCTTTCTGGTGGACATGGATATAGCCATTGCATGTTCACTTGATAAGAAAATATTCTCCTAGAAACAACAGAATCACATGCCAACTAGAGAGACGGGGCAACAAAATCCTTGTAAAAACTACACACAAAATTTTGGTACAAGGCTTCTACACAGAGTTGTATAGACACACGACGAGCAGCTTAAATCGCTCAATTTTCAGTTTCCAAGTTAAAGTGATCCTTGAGAATATGTTTGGGAGTTCTTCCAAATCCCTTTGCCACTTCTTTCATGTCCTTGAATTTCGTTATCTCTTGTTTCAAATGGTCCACCTTGCTAAGGAAGGAATCAAGTACGGCATCTGCATCAGGAGAGGGCGCACGCTGTGAAAGTGTGGATCTCTCATGGTCAAGCTGTTGATACAAATCTTGAATGCAGTTCTTCTGGACAGAAAGGGCTTCCTCTGCAAGTCTGTATTCAGACTCCTGCGACTTCTTTAATGCCATTAGAATCTGATCAATTTCGTCCTCCAGTACCAGAGTTTCCACTCGATGATCAAACTTCGAAGATAATAGTGGCTGTAGGAATCTGTTTGCAGGAGGATCCTCGTGATTCTCAAGTTCCAAAGCTCCATTCTCTGTATGAGATCCACAGAAACTAGTGAATGCCAAGGCCTTGAATGCAAAACTGAATCAAATTATCATAGAATAAGATGCAGAAAGAATTTAGAATAAGCACTGTCTGCATTTAAGACTTTTGTTGTCCCTTAAGAAGGTCAAATACTTTTGACCAGTGAAGGAACAAGAACTCAGGTTATCTTCAAAAAATGAATGATAGCCTCATAACACTCATAAGGCCAGTCATATACAACAGATGGGGCCCAGCCAAAAACTTAATCAACTAATCCATTTGTCAAGATGATGATGCAGTTGTATGGATGTATTCTTTGAGACAGTCAGTAAACTACAGTATCCATCTGTAGGCTTGCTGTGGAAAAGCTACAGTGCAAGAAGTCTGTACAGAATTAGAGCTTCACCCAACAAATACATAAGGCTCGCTTAACTGACAATTGCTACAATCGTAGTTAGCAGGAATTAACATTCACAGATTTCTTTCATTAACACAGTTTGATGGTCCAGGGAGGATCGTGCACTCAATAGAAAAGTTTATTCGTGATATTGAGTCTGAATGCAGATGATTAAATGCTCAAACTATCTCTTTCATTTAAACTCCCCACATGTACAAGTTATGACTTTTCTCTATTTGCCTAATCTTTAATGTTGTCAGATCCAAGCTATAAAATTTCCTACATGGTGCAATTTATCCATCAAAGAAGACTCTGTCATCACAAAATTGACTACTAATTCCCTGCACATATGCCTCTCTTCATGTGATTAGGGCTGCAAACGAGCCGAGTCGAGTCGAGCTTTAGGCTAATCGAGCCGAGCCTCGACTAAATTTTACCAAGCTCGAACTCGAGCTCGAGCTCGACGAGCCGGCAATTTCGAGCTCGAGCTTGACTCGAATCAATTCGAGCCGAGCTCGACTTCGAGCTCGAAAAAAATAAAAAAAATAATTATTTTATTTTTTAAAAAATAAATAAAATAATATTTTTTTAATAAATAATAAAAATATTAAGGATATATATGTACTTTTACTATTAAAATAAAAAAATAAAAAATATATATGCTTAAAATAAAAAATACATATATACTTAAAATAAAAAAATAAAAAATATTATATATATATACTCGAGCTCGCGAGCCGGCTCGCGAGCTAACGAGCTTAATATTTTGAGCTCGAGTTCGAGCTCGATTTCGACTCAAGCCAGCTGGAGCTCGACTCGAGCTCGATATTGATCGACCTCGACTCGCGAGTGGCTCGATTCGTTTGCAGCCCTACATGTGATGTCTCTCAAAAACTACTCTAAAGTTCCTGAAAGAGCATCTTCACAAAAGCAAAAGTTGAGAGCTTTAATTCATCTGAATATAATGTTAAAAACCAAATTGCAATAGAAGTTACCTTCTGTAACTTCAACTATTTCTTCCTTCTTCCAGACATCTTCAAGGTCTGCACCCTTTCTGAGCTGATGTTTACAAAAGACTGGTCATGATGCTGTCTTGAAGCTGTAGAAACAATAGATATTGCTTGACTAAATATATTTCCTAGATCAAAATAGTTACTGAGCTATACCTTTGACATTGCCAATGAGATCTGATCCAACAACTGTTTCGCACTAGCTCTCCGAGAGTCACGCAGAATAGATATGCCAACACTCAGAATCATTTCAATGTCATCCCGCGAGTCGATAGATTCACAGGTCTTTAGAAGTTTTCTGACATGTGAAACAAGATCCAACCTTGAATCACAGCGCCTGCAATAGTATTCTGCATCCAAACCAATAGTCCCCCCAACTGTACCAGCCATATAAGCCCGGAGACCACAGTTTAAATGGGCAACATGACCACAAGCATAACCATTTAGTAATGCTTGGCACCTAATATAACTATACCCACCATAAGATGAACTTACGGTCTTACAACAAAGAATACAACAACAATCTCGGCAGAAACCAG